TACTTTTACTGGAGTAATATTTTATTATATGGATCTGTACTTTTACTCAAGTACTTGATTTGTGTACTTCGTCCACCACTGCCGCTGACTGCCATTAAACAGCTTGGAAGATCAAAGACCATTTTTAATATAACTCCGATTGGATTCATCTGAAAGAAGGAAGTCATATTAGCCTAGGATTGCTTGAGGGTGAGTAAATAATGGGCTAATTTTCATTTTTGGGTGAACTATCCCTTTAAGTATCTTTTGGCTACTTTTCTAATATTGTAGATCTTTGATGCTCAAATTACAAAGATATTAGCTACTCTCTACTGGACTATTTTATTTTTTACTTTGAGTACATTTGAGTACATTACAAACATACATTTTGCATGGCAACAAACTTTTTCTGCAGCATTTTATTTCTGCTACAAAAGAAGTGATATTGCCATCTACAGGGTATTGAAGGTACTCGATCTTGTGCGCACTCAGAATTGTGAAGAAGGCTAGGGGTGGCTCAATACCACAACCTCAAGTATGCCTCAATTAAGCTGTTAATAACACATTTGTCAGGAGGATGCATTGTGCTTAACTAAGCCATCTAAAAAACACTATGCTCAAACAGTGCAACAAATGTTCTACTCTCCTAAAGGAAGAATTTCACAGCCCACAACATGACTCAGTTGTGAGCTACGCAATATCGCGTTCATTATCAGTGATGTATCACATGCGATAATGAAAGCTGTTTGCGTAGCTTGTCAGTGAACTGCGGCTCTGTGTAGTAAATGCCGCTCCATCTGAAAGCACGTGCTGAAGATTTACTACTAATCACAGAACCGGCTTTACTGACGAGATGAGCATGATAAACGTATGCGATTTATCGTGCAGCCCTACTTAAAAGTACGTAAAACTCAATTTTACAGTAATTTTAACAAATAAGCACAAGTCAACCTGTCATACCAAACACAGGGAGACGCCAAATGATTGCATATAAACTAATATACTGATCCATTCAGAATTACTAAACATACCAAAATACAAATGAAAAATGAAAACATTCTGAATGTGTGGAGACTCAGCAATCTGAAGGCGGGTCGTTGTCATCAGAACTGTTCCTCTGTTAGAATAAGCGATTTTGGAGCATTTGATGCCCATATACATATAAACACCACTGATCCTCACAAACTTCTCCAAAACATGCTTCTTCGGTGAGCATCCATTATAAAACACTTGCTGTACTTGCTGAACACTTGCTGCCGAGAGCGCACATACACTGTTTGTTTGTGCATCAATAATAACAGACACACGCATGCCTAATGTATGACTCCTGTATGTCACTATAATCATCTTTACCTTTACTACAATCATCATCCATCAAAACTTTACTAGAGCGACACTGGCTTGCTTTATCAGCCGAGAGCATACAGTCATGGTCAAAAGTTTTGGCAGTGACATAAATTTTGTGTTTTGCAAAGTGTGCTGCTTAAGCTGTTTCAGCCATTCAAAACTATACAAGTGACACTTCTTGGGTATTCTATAGTTTTTGGTAATATACACTGTTATGCACTGAATACTGAAAGCATGACTTAACCATTCTTCTCCTCCTCATTACACTATGTCATCCTGTATTATAGACTTGCTGGATGTTGCCTCACTGATCAGCAGTGTGAAACTTTGTCTTCAGTTCTGCGATCATCAAACTCCCATCTGAGGGACCTTGACCTGAGTAACAATGACCTGCAGGATTCAGGAGTGAATTTGCTCTCTGCTGGACTGAAGAGTTCACAGTGCCAACTGAACATACTAAGGTATTTAAAAAAACATATTCCAATAAAAATAGAAACAGTACCATGAATACAGACTATGCAGTAATCACCAAAAAAAGACACTAAATTATGTAGTGAGTTTTGGGTCTCACATCACTTAAGGCCCTGATGTATTCCAGCAAAAGCAAAGAGCATTCAGGTGTGACATCATTTCATAATCTAGTCAAATCTAAGGTGTTTTTGAGTTTAACTAGTTAAGAACAGTTCACCAGTAAATAATTTTTAACATTATAATGACTAACAGATTAAACATGTTTAATCACAATGTACTACCGTATTGGCCCGAATATAAGACGGCCCCCCTTTTTCCAGATGTACCTTTTGGAAAAAGGCTTTTTAAAAACCAAATCTTGTTTTTTCTCAGTAAAACACATTTTGTCTTCAATTATTTTCATATTGCATATTTTTCCTATTTTAATTTTTGTTTTGAAAGTATGGTAAAAACTGGTAAAATGTACCAACAATTACATTTAAAGGGGTCATATGATGCGATTTCAAGTTTTCCTTTCTCTTTGGAGTGTTACAAGCTGATTGTGCATAGATAAGATCCCTGAAGTTGCAAAGACTAAAGTCTCAAAACCAAAGAGATGTTCTTTATCAAAGTTAAGACTCTGCCACGCCCCCCTAAAACGGCTCGTTCTAACACGCCCCCACATATCTATGTCTACTACTATGTGGCAATATTTGCATAATGCCGCCCAAATGTGCACGCAAAGAAAGAAGGCGTGGTTTCAGTAACCGCAGTAGTGTTGATGCAGCATGTCAGGGAGACGCTGTGTGTTTCAGTGCAAAAGCAAAAGCACTTTATTTTGCCTTCCAGAAGTAGATGCATTTAGGAATCTTTAAGATCACTTACAACAGAACAGCAATGCATTTTATGGACGACCGTTTCACGAACCTAGGAGAGGAGGTAATTCTGACTTTGCTATGACAATCTGGCGCTTCTGAATCAGCTACTGTTTTGTTACTAGTTTAAGTATTTGCTATTGACTGTTCAAATGCAGAGTTTTGCGCATCACGTGTGTGTGTGTGTGTGTGTGTGTGCGCACGTGTGTGTGAGAGAGAGAGAGAGAGACACAGCGTCACATCACAGTAGAGTCAACTGTCTTAACTGCGGCTTGTGTACTGCATCATTACTGTGTCTGTCACGCGTTCAGATGTATTTCCAAGAAAAAAACATCGTCTTATATTCGGGTCAATACGGTACTTTAATTTGTTTCAGAGAAAAAGTTTGAAGTGTATATGTATAGAATGCTTTTATTAGTGTCACCACCTCTTCTTGACATCTTTTTTTCCTATCAATACTCTGTACTGTCCTGTCCAATAAAATGACAAAAACATCAATAAATAAATACAAATTAAAAAAAATTTCTCATGTACACATTATTTATATGTTCTGCAAAAGCATTGTCTTTTTTTATAAGTCAAAACACAATGTCATTTTATCTTAATGCCTCGACCCGGATAAGAATGACTAAAAAAGTGCCATTTCATTGTAAAATGACGTGGTTCACAATTTTCACACCTATGGTTACCATTAGGAAAAGGATAAAAAAAAAAGTGTTTCAGAGATAGATCAGCCATAAACTAACTATTTTATGTTAGGTGCAGGCTTATATACTATTCTAAGAGGCATTGATTTTGTTATCCTCTGTTATAGACTTGCTGGATGTCATCTCTCTGATCAGTGCTGTGGACGTTTGTCTTCAGCTCTTCAGTCTTCAAGATCCGATCTGAGAGAGCTGGACCTGAGTAACAATGACCTGCAGGATTCAGGAGTGAAGCTGCTCTCTGTTGGACTGAAGAGTTCACTCTGTCAACTAAACATACTGCGGTTTGACTTTTATATTGATTCAGCTATGGCTAGTAGATACTTTTCCTTGCATCTGAAATTGGTCACTTGTTCACTCATCTACTATTGTATATATGGGCAGGTGTTGACAGATGGCCAGAATGGTCTTATGCCACTACAAACAATACAATAAAGAAAATCAAACTCATACAAACAATTTATCAAACATACTGTCCAAATAATTCAAATAATACAATCACAATAATTATGCATTCTAAGGAAAGGGTTCAAAAGACATGGTTCGGTGTCCATTCAAACACCCACACCTCACCAGTGCAAAAGGAAGAAAGTGAGGTCTACTTATAGATCTTGGCCGGGGGTGTGTGAGTAATGTAGTGCAGTAGATTTGGTAGTGTAGTTCACTTGGACTTGGGGGAGATGTAGTACGAAGAACTACATTATTTTTACATATAATAAACAGAATAAAAAGTAGATAAGAAAAGAGAAAGAATAGATAGAGCTAGCACTTGAGGTTCAAGTGATTTTTTTTTTCTATAATAATTAAAAAGAAACCAAGTAGATAGATTAGAAAAAGAATAGAGAACACTAGTGGTTTTTATTTTTATTTTGAATGATTCATAGTGTACAAACCGCTGTTGGCTATTTCAAAAAGAGGATGATATGTCCCACCCAGACTTCCTTTTTTAATGGAAATTATGCCAGCACATCAAATAATGTTACATGTGTTTATACTTTTCCTTTAAAGATCTCACCAGAGGATGCTTCAGTAACAACAAACTAGTATTATACCCTGTTCACGTAATACAGACCAGTTTGCCTGCGTTTCCTTTATATGTGTACAAACTTTTTTTTTTAAATTAACACAAATATGATCTTATAATTATCATCACTACATATTTTTAATAACTATATATTTTCTGGTTTTCTGTCTTGGCAAAATGTTTATGAAAATTATTATAATATATTAAACCAATCATAAGTCAAAGCTGATTATTGTAAATGTTAGTCAGAATGTGTCTAAGGCCCTGTCCACACGAACGCGGTTATTTTTAAAACCGCAGCTTTTTCTACGCGGTTTGGCCATTCGTCCACACGCAAACGCAGCACCAGTTCACTGAAACCAAACATTTTTGAAAACTCCTGCCAGAGTGAAGATTTTCAAAAATTTTGGATTGTGACGTTGTAGCCTGCGCTGTTATCTCCGCCTACTGGGGACTTTTTCAGGCTTCCGATTGGCCAGCATGGCTTTACAGTTGAGATTATATCGCCACCTGTTGGTTTGGCATGCTCTTGACAGTGCTTCATAGCATGCATTTGCATTTTCATGTGGACGGAGATTTTTTTTTTAAACGGAAGAAGGAAAAACTCCTTTTATAAAAATACCCGTTTACGTGTGGACATGGCCTAAGTCATTTAATTGGTGTTGTGACAGGAGTTAAATCCTGCTTTACTGATCTGTTTAGATTTGCCTTATGTAATCTCACTGGTCAGTGCTGTGAAAGTTTGGCTTCAGCTCTACAATCATCAAACTCTCATCTGATGGAGCTGGACCTGAGTAACAATGACCTGCGAGATTCAGGAGTAAAGTTGCTCTCCAATGGACTGAAGAGTTCACACTGCCAACTGAACATACTAAGGTATTTAACAAGACCAAAATTACTCTGAACAAATTAAACATGTCACTTTAGTCCTGCTCTTAACTTCTTTGCAAAAAACGCAACAAAGATTTATACTGCTGTGATTTTAACCCCTAACTCATCACTTTCCCATTCTTTGGAAGTGAAGAATTTGCCTTTGCAATGCAGAAACAGCGTATTCTCGACATGTTGACAAAACAACCAACGAAAGTGTTTGAGGGTGGGTCAAAGTAGACGCTGTTCATGGGCACCCAATGAAAACCACTGGCTGGAATTAAAACAGGACAATACAGTGTTAAACAGGAAAATATTGTTGCAATGATGCAAACAAAATTAATTTCTGCAGATCTAAAAAGAGGACAATAGTAAACAAAAAAGTCCAATTTTAAGCTAAAGTCAGTTAATTGTTGATTCAGTTCAGTTTAATAACTGTGTAAAGTTCATCAATTATGGAACGAGTTCAATTCTTCTATAAAGCAGCTCTGTAGAAAACCGAGTTTGTAGAGTCAGCTTTCCACATCTCCCTAAGTTAAGGTTTGGTTATAAAAATTATTCTAGATTAGCACTTACAAGCAATTTTTTCCCCCCAGAGCATCAATCAGAAACCGCAAATAAGACTATTACGTATTACTGATTACTGTCAGTAGTGTTTATGCAGGAATTGTCTGTCCATATGTTAGCAGCTGACTGAAGTCTGTTTAAAGGGATTTAGCTCTGAGGCATGCATGAGTGCACAGAGGCATAGAAGAGAGAATGTACAAGATTAGAAGAAGAAAAAAAACATGCATTTGAGAAAGTTGAGCTCTGTCTACTGTGAACTGCACTGGTCATTGTGTAAAAGTGATGTCTGATTGACAAACTAATGCCTTGTAAACTGTCGCTGTTCCTAGATTGTCCGGCTGTATGGTGACAGAGGAAGGCTGTTGTTACCTGTCTTCAGCTCTAAATTCAAACCCCTCACATCTGAGAGAGCTGGATCTGAGCTACAATCATCCAGGAGAATCAGGAGTCAAGCTGCTCTCTGATTTACTGAATCATCCAAACTGCACACTGGACAAACTCAAGTATGTTGAACATGTTTACAATATTTAAATATGAGAATCTTAATGTGCTGTGAAATGATTCATTTATTATTTTTTATGCTTGTACTATTAACTCTTTCCTTGCCAAACATGGAATTTTTCGTGTTTCCGTGTTTTCACTGTTATACGCTAGGGGGTGCTATTACGCATCTCCTGAATGAGTCTAGAAAGTGCCGATCAAAAACACAGACCAGGAAGATGCAGAAATGAGTGATCTCATATGTAAGCATATGCATATGAAAAATAAGGCGATCATCAACACTAACCGCATATAAATGAAAACTGCATAATGTTACAGAGTGAAATTTAAATTCAGAAAGTGGTAAAGGCCTGTGGAAGCAATCTACTGCATCTTTGCTTTAATAATATTACTGAATATGATCCAGATGTAGTATTTGATAAAAATGCGATTTTCTCAGTTTTTTGCTCAAATGGTTGCTTTTTTATTAAACCTACCTACATTCAAGTGCTGATAAAAAAAAAACAAAGCTTGAAGTTAGAATTGTTTGAAAGTAGAGGGTCTGATCTTTATTTTGATGTATTGCATGTTCAGGTATTCATACATATTTTTTCACAAAACGCTGGCGGGGAAAGAGTTAAGATGTGCTTTTATAGTGTTCTTGCGGTTTTTGATGATGCATGAGACAGAGAAGTACAGTTTACCAGTGTTCCATATTTTTTTGGTTTTTATATTAAAAAAGTGGTTCCTACTTAAAATTCTATTAGTTAAATAGCAATCAAAAGGACTATAAAAACATGGATGAGTGTGTCGCATCAAACTTGTTGACATCAAAGTACTGCGAGAGCGAGAGAGCAGACGGCTCCATTCTTTCGAATTGCTCTCGCGGTAAGTGTTAAGGCCTTTCCACACTGAGCGCGAAAAAGCGAAACGAATATCGGACGCGATGACGCGCTGGAATAAAACAATTTTCTTATTGATTCTATAGATGCTTCCACATAGACCGCGAACATTCGCGCACCGAAAATTCGAATGTTTTTTTTTTCGAACCAGTCCGACGAATCTTTTAAATTTCGCAAAGCGAAAACACAGGCCGTCCAATAAGATTTGAGCTAGTATCACGTGACCAGAGCAGCTGTTGTTGCACAAAAAGGCAAGAGTGGTGGCGCTGTTTCGAAAACCAGTGTAAACAAACACCGAAGAAGAGTATCCCAGATAATCAGTGGAAGCTGATTTCTTGTTATCGTTGGTATTTGAGAACAGATTTATTCTCACATGCTCTTTATACAGAATAACATTTCTATAAATTGTCCACTGAATTATGTGATCTGTAGAGCATCGTCCATTTTCTTCCACATGCGCGAGTGTTATGAGTCAGAGCGAGTTAACTCTTTCTCTACACATGAAATATGAAAGCAATAGACATGATTATGACGATATATTTTCTGTATGTGTTTTGTATGCAGCTCATGGTATTTTTATAGCAATAAAGGATGTTTATGACAAATTTTAGCAGTGTAGCGTTATTAAACATACAAAGAGTGCATGTGTCTGCTTATTAATCAAAATCAACTAGATCACAACTGAAAGTTATTACAAGCACTCAAGTGTAGCTTGATGGTAATTGTACTTCTAATTCTATTTTAAGATTTTAAGAAATTTAATGCTGTATATTGAGCAGCGGATGATGTTAAATCCATTTACGAGATACATATCTGAGGAAAAATGCATTGTTGGTCGGCGCCACCTAGCGTGCAGGCGTGAATTAGCAGAAGGCGAACAATCGTTTCGCGTTCGGTGTGAAAGCACCGTTCGTCTGCAATTCGCCTCACTTTTTCGCATCACGCTCAGTGTGGAAAGGCCTTTAGGCTTTGATGCAGAGTTTGAGCCCCGGTCCTGATGCAAATACTGGGTCTTCTCATACAGTTTATGTTACTCAGTTGAATAAAAAGAATCTGTGAGGATTATGTTTAGGGTTAGGGGGCAGAAAATATATTTAGCTATTTAATGTAAAAACAGTAGATGTTAACAGCAAAAAAAAAAAAAACGAAAAAACTGATTACTGATACTGATTGTATAACACGCAGAATGTGACACTGTGTTTGTTTTATAGTGTGGATCATGGAGGAGAGGTTTACTCAGAAAGTTGGTTATCCATTTATTTAGTTACAAACCTGCTCTGAAGAGATGTGTACCTGAAGTACAGTAACTTTCTGCAGAGGTATTTGGTGCACGCGTGGCCTTCTAATTAGGGCTGAAAGCATTGCTTACACACAATTTCGTATTATAAATGTATAGAATGTATTATTAAAATTGTTAATATATTTATTTTATTTTACCTCACAATAACAATAAAACAGTATCTTACTCAATCAGTCAATACTGAGAGGAAAAAGAGGTTTTCTTTTTTAAAAGTATGATAAAAGGTTGACATGTATTAAAACATGTATATGCATTACCAAGCAATCACTCAATAAACTGCAACAGTTCATGCATCCAGATCCAGAGTAAGTGGGTGAGTGGCAATGTTCTGTTATGCAGAGGACATGTTGCACACTTAAATTACGAGACTGTAGACAAGTGTAGTGTGAATCAGACTTGTATTTATTAAAGAACAAAAGAAACAATATTACGAGCCTGCAAACAATGCCACAGATGTCACAAGTGAATGAAACGAATGCTTTCACTTTATATACCTTTAACATATATGCAACTGCACTCATTTAAATGTGTAGGCTCACGTATATTTGCACAAAATCTGATTTATCTTTCAAACAATGTTTCTTTAACATTTGAATAAGGAATTAGTAGGATAGTCAAATGTTTTCTTTTGTATTAATGCTGAATAATGTCCTGCTCCTCTTCCTTTTAAGATTTGAGGCAAACACACATGTAAATCTAAAATTGTAGGGTTGGAAATCAACAAAGTAGATTATTTTTATCACAACATGATAAACATGAACATTTTTATGTTCTGGAATACTTAATTCTCTGGTTGGTTTTAATTGTTGTAATCACTGTGGTGCATCCAGTTGGAATGTAATAAAGATTTATTCTCCACTTAAGCTGTGTGTGTATGTGGTTCTAAAACAAAAAACGACAGCATGATTAAATAATAAAGCATGATTAAAATATTAATGTAACATTTAGAACTATATTAAGTAGTTAAATCTACAACTGAAGTCTAGAAATGCATCTAGTATATACTATAACTATATTCAATACAAACAGCCATCATATTAAGAGAAGTCTTGTTTCAAGCATGGTTCAAACTCACTGCCATAGTGGAAAAGGTTGACATGTATTAAAACATGTATATGCATTACCAAGCAATCACTGAATAAACTGCAACAGTTCATGCATCCAGATCCAGAGTAAGTGGGTGAGTGGCAATGTTCTGTTATGCAGAGGACATGTTGCACACTTAAATTACGAGACTGTAGACAAGTGTAGTGTGAATCAGACTTGTATTTATTAAAGAACAAAAGAAACAATATTACGGAGCACAAACAAGAAGCATCTCTAACACACGTGAAGACTCCATTCTTTTCTCAGTAACCCATGACTTTTCCTCTAGTAGGCCAACCTGCACCTCCTATTATGTGTATTCGCAATGGCCTTGATTAAAAATAGGGAAGCACAGATTGACCAAGTTCATTTTACTCCCAGCATTGTTGTGTGCGCTTTGATCTTGTTTTTCATCTAAATGATTCATGCTGTATGTGCATTGAAACAATACTTGACATTGCATGATGTTAGGGAGCTATCATTGCTTCAACATCTATTACCCATCAAAACCTGTTTTATTCTTTCCCAAGGTGTTTTTCTCCATCAGCCCAGAGAACAGCACTAAAGTGGAGAAGACCAACACAGCCTGTCCTCATGTGAACCTGTGATGTCTAAAAATGGACTGAAGTCAATAAGATTTCTGACATGTAACGATGTGCTTTTTCCTTCCACTGTTACTGTTTCGAGTCTCAGGTCCGGCAGGAATTGTCAGTGGGGGGAGTGAATGACCAGCGCTTTCTTCCACCCTCAATACCACGACTGAGGTGAGACCCTTGAGCAATGCACCAAATCCCCCAACTGCTCCCCGGGTGCCACTGCAATATGGCTGCCCACTGCTCCGGGTGTGTGTTCACTACTGTGAGTGTGCACTTGGATCGGTTAAAATGCAGAGCACAAATTCTGAGTAAATTCAAGGGTCTCACATCTGTATGACTTTTCAGGTGTATCTGTAAGTGATAATGACGTGCGATAGTTTTTTATCACACTGATTAAATTTAAACGGTCTTCCTCCAGAGTGCAGGTGATTTCTGAAACTGCTGTATTTTGTAAACCTCCTGCCACACTGATGAACACTACGGTTGCTTTCCAGAATGAGTTTGCAAATGACATTTGAGGTCTCTTAGATATGTGAAACTCTTTTCACACTTTAGACACGTGTAAGGCTTCTCTCCAGTGTGAATTCTCATGTGGATGTTAAGGTTTCCTTTATGTGTGAAACCTTTTCCACACTGAGGACATGTGAAAGGCCTCTCTCCAGTGTGAGTTCTAATGTGAATCTCAAGGATTGATTTGCTTGTGCAAGCCTTTCCACAGTGATGGCACATGAAAGGCGTCTCTCTGATGTGAGTTATTATGTGATTCTTCAGGTCATTCCCATCTGTGAAACTCCTCCTACACTCATGACACATAAAACAGTTCTCTCTTGTGTGAATCCTCATGTGCTGATTAAGGTTTACTTTACATCTGAAACACTTTCCACACTGACCACATACAAATGGCTTCTCTCCGATGTGAATTCGCATGTGAGTCTTAAGACATTCTTTTCGTGAGTAGCTCTTCCCACACAGTGTGCAGGTAAAAGGTTTCTCTCCAGTGTGAATTCTCATGTGGGCATTACAGTTTCCTTTATGTGCAAAACTCTGTCCACAGTGTTGGCATTTGTAAGGCTTCTCTCCAGTGTGAACTCTTATGTGGGAATTAAGGTTTTCTTTATGTGTAAAACTCAGTCCACACTGTTGGCAGGTGAAAGGCTTTTCTCCAGTGTGAATTCTCATGTGGATGGTAAGGCTTTGTTTTTGAGTGAAACTCTTACCACATTGATGGCAAGTAAAAGAGCTGTTCGACATGGTTTTCTGAGCTCTTTTTTGTGAGGAAGTCTTTTCATTCTGAGTGGATTTCTCTCCAGTCATGAAATCATAGCGTTTCTCATACTGAGCTTTCTCTTCCGTTTCATTCAGTTCTTGACTCTCCACTTTCAGCACCATCTGGTCTAAAGTGAAAAAAAGACAAATACAAGTTAACACAAGTTTAATGGTACTAAGCAACTTACATCAAAACCAACCTGAAAGCATTGAAGGGATAGTTCACCCAAACATGTACTCACCCTCAAGTTGTTCCAAACCTGTCTTTTTTCTACTGAACACGAAATAAGATATTTTGAAGAATGCTGGTAACTTAACAATTGATGGTAGCTATTGACTTATTTTGATTTCCATACAGGCTTGGAACAAGTGGAGGGTGAGTAAATGTTCACAGAAATTTCATTTTTGCGTGAACTATCATTTTAAAGCATCAAAGCCAACATCATGTATGCTAGATCCTACACCCACTAAGCTACTGAAACAGGAGTTACGTATTATCTCAGAATCTCTTCACAATATTCAGTATAAATGTTTGCTTTCTTTAGGACACATCCAAAAAACCTTCAGTCCAACAAAACTGGCAGTTATCAAACCCCTTATCACTTTACCAGGATAATTAGTTTATTATAGACCAACCCCAAATGTGCCACCCATGTCTAAAATATTTGAAAAATAGTGCCCTCAACTATGTTCAGTTTTGCTGAGAAATGGTACTTCAGTCAGTATTTCAGCCCTATAATAGCACAGAAACCTTCATTATTACAGTGACATCTTTCTTCTAGTGTCATTTGTTCTTTTGATAACATAGACTACAACATTCTCTTGGATAGCTTGTGAATTATGTTGGCATTAATGGACAAGCATTAGCATGGTTTAGGTCTCATCTATCCGACTGCTAACACTTTGTTTGTGTGAATGAGGATGTTTCATCAAACACAAGTATTGTGTGCCACAGGGCTCAGTATTAGGTCCTCTACTTTTCTCCTTGTATACACTTCCCTTAAGGGACATATTGATTTGTTTTCACTGTTCTGATAATGATACTTTTACATTTCCACACAGCCTGAAAAAAACTGCACAACTCTCTACAAGTTGGCAGAGTGAGATATATAACATGGGAGGGCTAGTAATTTTCATCTATTAAATTCTTTCTAAAATGTGAGAAATTCTTTTGAAGGATTATATTTTTTTCCCCAAATGAATACTGTAAAGGTATTGTGAACCTCACTGAAACTGCTCCGTACCAGGGATGTTCATATTAACCGTTAACCGAAAGTAAAAAAAAAAATTACCGATTAATACTATCAGTTTGAACGAAAAAGGTATTTTTTCAAGTATTTTCCCCTTAAGTATTTCAAGTAAGTTTGCTGCATGGTGAAAGAAAAGTATGCTATGGGGAGAAATCAACCCAGGGCATCAGTTTAATAAAAGTAGCCCGATTCTGTGGGAAAAAACGCGCACTTTGCAATCCTGCATCCAACACGAGCTTGGCTGATCATGGGTCGAGAGTAGGATAGATGACTGACAGATCATGCTGGAGTATTTGCTGCTCAGCAGATCCTGAACTCACTGACAAATATCTGATCTTGTAAGATTAGATGTGCTCCTTTACATCGAGTGCGCGTGAACGCGAAATCGAAAGTGAACAGCGAGCACGCATTCAAAAGAGATTTCAATACCCGCATATTGATAGAGCGAAAATTATAAACAATATAAGAATGTTTGTGGGAGCGGCCACAAAAATCGTGGGAGCGGAACACACACGTTGCAGGAGCGGGCGGAAATGGTCAGAAATTCAGCGGGAGCGGCATTACAAAAGAGTTCACGCGCAGAGCTCTATCCGCACTTTTAAAAAAAATAAAAACTAGACACATTGTGCACTGAGGTAGGCCTGCTATTTATTGTTGTCTGACGAAAAAAAGACTCTGAATCCTTCAATGCACCTTAAAGAACCGGCAGAATGTTTTCGTTTTGTCATCTTAATGTTAATTATTTAATTGAAAAATATTTAGTGTAGGCCTATTTATTTTATTCTTTTTATTTGTTATTTTATTCTGTTTTTCTCTGTTCTCAGAAGCGCTGCAGGTGCGTGATAATTTGACGATGTGTGAATCCAGGTTATGTTGTATTTTTAATGGGTCACAGCCACACATCCATTCTATTTTTACTTAATACTAATTTATTATTCTAATCTTATCAGTTTACGGTTAATGTTCGGATAACTATTAACGGTTGTCGGTCGGGAAAATTAACCGAAATGAACATTCCTACTCCGTACAATATAAAACATTACATTAACATTTAAACATTACATGACAATTCTCATCTTCTCTGATTCTCAAGTTACACAAAAACAAACTATTTAAACAATTTGAACTAATGAATAGAAAAGATGGTACAAATGTATGTTTAAATTATGTTTAAGAACCATGAGCTGTATAATCATACAATCACCTTAAGAGTTATTCATCTCATGTGCTACACTGATATTATTATTATTGAGTTTGCTGAGGCAGTGAAGGATGAAATATGTTCAGATGCCTTGCCACTTGAGTAAACTTTTTCAGATTTTTGGACACTTTTGTACTGGGCAATTGTGACTGTCTCTGTTTTTAGCTGTTGCAGTGCAGCATGGATGGACACAGACTTGCACCTGCAGATCACACCAGAAACAATGTTTTTGTTTTTTTGTTTTTTAAATGGAAGTCCTTGTCCACCTTTCTTGGTGTTGAAAACCTTTGGAGTACTGGGGCCGGTTGCATCAGCTAGTCGTGAAAAAGTTGGGTGTAATTCCCATGCTGGGCTTTGCTACGTGCAACCTATTGATAAATATTTACACCTGTTGCACCAACTAAAACTACAACCAGGTGCAACTATGGCTGTGTTTACACTGGCACAAAAAATCTGATTTTTTGCTCACATTATTTGTTATATTTGTTATTTGTTATACATTATCACATGCAATTTGTTGCATACGTGTAGGGTTGGGTACCGAAATCGGTACTTTTAAGGGTACCGACCGAATTGCGTCGGTACTACCGAGTACCGATTCACGTTAAATCAATCGGTGCCAAATTTCGGTACCTGAGAACGCATCTGGGCGCATACTCTACAGAGAGAGAAAGAGAGACCCTGTGATGTGAGGTCACCCCTGCAACTCGTTCAAACAACACACAGGGCAAGCCGAAATGTTCTGAAGTGTGGTTACATTTCTAGGCCCATATGCTTTCTGTGAAAATGCGGACGGGATCGCAGAGTCCATTCATAAAAACGTAATTTACTCTATAGCGCGGAATGCCACGGAATTCGTCAATTTTGGACGAATAAATCAAAAGTAGCCACGTTTTTGTGATTACACAGAGAGTAAAGTACCGAAAAAAAGGTACCGTTGGGTACCGGTACCGTACCGGTTATAATGTGAATGGTACCCAAACCTACATACGTGCAAACACAAAAATCAAGATCTGATTTTTTCCGACAAAAGATCCAATTTTTTAGCATCCGATCTGGGCCACTTCCAAATGTGGATTTTAATTGGATACATATCCGATATCTGGACATCTGACCTACATCTAAACACATATCTGATTTCCCTCACCACAATGCAAGGGCGACACTTTCACCCTTAAATACAGTGTTTTAATGCCCGTGTAGTGTATATGCAGTTGCTTATACACCAGGAACAGGAACTTTAAAGTGAAAGAAATCACGCAACGTTCAGGAGCCGGTTTTCAACCCCTGCCCCGTGAATTTTACAAATACAAAAGCTTCGCTACTAAAACCTACATTATATTTCTCAGCAATGACGTGATAACTTGTTTTTGCAATTAAACCAACAAGCTTCACTATTAGGCTACTCACTTGTGCGTTCTCTCTCTTTCGTTAATTCATTCAAATTGATTCAAATAAATAAAATCTTAAAGCACTACTTTATTTCACTTCAGAATTGTACATCTAATGACCTGTAGATAAAATAACAAATGAAAATTACCATTATTTTCAGGTTTTTATCCATTCAGTCAGATTTTGTGCTACAAAACATCCATGACAGCTGTTGTCCATGCTAGCAAATATTAATAATATCCACTCAACGTGAATTATATAAATAATTTTGATAGCATGGCCATTCAAAAGATGAGAGCCTACTACCGTGTGCATAATAAAGTGAATGTAAACAGGCGGGCCAAAAAATCAGATATGGTCTAAAGATGAAAATGCAGCCTAAGCCTAGTGTAGACAATGCACATCCACACAGACACGTTCAACCACAGTGATAGTTGATACGCCATTCCTGATGCTATGGCTACACACGTAAATGTACTAATATTAATATAATTAAAATATAAAACTAACAAATAAAAACTTAATTGCTTATGACATCATAAGTGAAGTCACCGCACCACGATTTCATTGAGATTTACTTCAACACAACTGTCATTAGGTAACAAATAAAGGCATGCAGGTTTGGCGTGTAAAGATTTTGTTAATCTAATTTCATTTAATTGTCAAAGGCATATTGTGTGATGCATTTAATTTTAAAATTGCCCTTTTAAAATGCCCTGGAATCCAATTTAAGGGGGCCAATATTATCTTCTAATTGCCAATAATATAGTCAGTGCATTGCATTATAATAAATACATACATGTTTTTTTTTCCTGTATTGCATTAGTTTTGATTATTTCTCATGGGCATTTAATAATTTTTGACTTTTTAGTCTGAGTTAAGTCTTTTTCACTTCATGCCTTCATGGACAATTATATATCACTTATAAATGATTAAATAAAAGAAAAGTATTTATTAAGATTGATATGGTTTGGAATTGGTCAAATGTGCTTGGAAAAAAAATATAATCAGAATATGCCTAATAATTATGCATGCACTGTGTGTGTATATATATATATATATATATATACACACACACACACAATAATATTGCCTACATATGTCAATACATAATAATCACAGTTAATCTCATTATTTTGCAATATGTTTTTCACCCACAATCTGTTTTGTCAGTACTATTGTAATAATGGCGACTTCACATATTATCTTTATTATTGTACATTTTTGGTACACATCTTTGGTTAGGTGTTGATGAATATGTACTTGAGCCTTACTGATGTGACATATGAGAATGAAAGAATCAAAACCAACCTGTTTGTTCCTCTTCTTGTTTGACTCTGAATGTTTCTTCAATCTTCAGGTCTTCACTCTCCTCTTTAATAAATGTCATCTTTATATCAGTGTGTCACGTGGATCTCAGTTGCTTCACCAGGAGTTTTTCCTGTGTGTTTGGACATGTTGTTTAAGATGTGCGATAGTTAACAGAAAGAAAAATAAATCCAAACCATGGAGATGGTCCTCACTGCAGAACACAAGATCCAGGGGGCGAGGTTGGATTCAGGTAAGCCAAAAACACTCAAAACTAACACTACAAATTCATAAAATAATGCTAATTAGACAATTAATATTTAGGTATTTATGCTTTAAATTAAGTATTTATTGATTTGTAGATTATATTAATAGATAGCATTTTCGTGAAAACATTTGCAGTTTATAAATGCTGTCTTTACACATTATTATTTTTTTGTTTTTAAATAAAAATATAGTTAATAAAGAATTGTTATTTCTTCATATTGTATTGTTTTGTATTGTATTGTTGTGTTTTCCTGAAAGTATTGTTAAGATGTCATTCTTAAGTGGCAAACACAAGCTGAATTGAATTCCCTTCAGTTTTACTGCAGGGTGACTTTGATGCAGCTATAGATGTGTTCATTGGCAATCCAGGATCTTTACATGACACCCTTGTCATGCGCCGATCGCTAATGTACCAAGAGGCTCTGTATCAGCCAGATGGATACTGTCTATCGGGAGATCTCTGTGCCTGCAGAGTCCTGTTGCTGTCACGACACCATACCACCAGCCTGCCGCAAGTAGGAGAACTCTCTTTTTGTCTCACTAGACACACACAGGAGACACATAAAGATGTTACTTTTCTGATTTTTAAATACACCATACATTTTTAATATGCAGTTTGATTAACAGAACAAGTTTAAGCCCGTTTCATTATTGAGCACACCCCTGAGATGTTGAAAACGTTTCTTGAGGGCCCTGCAGAGCAGAGGATGATTGGCACCTGTTGCATCCTACACAACATCTGTGTGGCTAGAGGTGATATCCTGGAGGAGGAGGAGGAAGAAGGCCTGGGCCCAGATGACAGCAATGTGTTAGAGACACATGCCACAGGACCATGTCTGATTACAACTTGCTGCTCATCTTTCTTCTCCTGATGAACTGACTACGCGCCTGTGTGAAAAGTACTACATATAAACAGTAAACTCCCTAGAGTAATATTTCAAACATTAGATGCTATATCATAGATAGATAGATAGATACAACACAATGTTACTTTCAAGAATAAATCGTCTGGTTTCAATTTCAAACAGATCTATGTTTATTTTATTAAAGGGGTCATATGATGCGATTTCAAGGTTTGTCATTTCTCCGATCACAAATGCAGACATAGTTTTATGTCTACGCGGTGGGTAAACGCGTAAAAAGATAGTATATGTCATTATAATTCCTTATTAATGTCCCCACTGGATGCAACAAATGCCTCAATAAACACATTTCATTACACCAAATACACAAAATAATGTTCTTTTTAGCAGCATCATATGACCCCTTTAAACAATTAAGCTGTTAATAACACATTTGTCAGGAGGATGCACTGTGCTTAACTAAGCCATCTAAAAAACACTATGCTCAAACAGTGCAACAGATCATCAGGAGGGTCTGCAATCATGCCCACTTTACAAACTAGCACATCAGATCCTCCTGTGGGCCCAGGGAAATCTGTCTACATCTTAAAATAACTCTTCCTGTAGACGCCACTTCCTGTTTGTTGCTGCCCGTGGTTTGAGTTTGGAGCTCTGTGAAGTTGATTTTTTTTTAGCAATTTTCTAAACTATCATTTTTGACTTCTATAACGTGTGAACATGATCACGATTGAATCCTCAAAAAACAATTGAAGAGCCTTGATATCACTAGTTTTATTTTGATTACCCGCTTGGATGGCTTGTCTGTATTTGTGGTGAAACTGCTGCCTAAAAGCCGGGACACACCAAGCCGACTTCAAAGAACTAGCGGCGACGAAAGCAGACGGTGTTGTTGTCGGACCAAAAAGCTGCACGTCGGACCAAAAAGCTGCATGTGAACACACCGCACAGACTACAGCCGACGGCAAACTAAACACGTGCGTTCTGCGTGAGAGGAATTGGCTGTCTATATCAGTAGCTATCAATAGTAAATATTCGTCATTCAAAAGGAGAAACCGAAACAAAGATATACGAGATAAATGCAGATATGCAAAATGTAAACAAAGCAGCGCTTGCTTACCATTTTGAATATCAGTAACGTTGATAACTTTCATCATTTTAAGCGGCTCATGTTGTTATGAAAACATTCGCATATTGGAATGCTTGGGTAAGATCACGTAACATTAGAACAGCCTTCTGTCTGTGCCACCTTCATTTACTTGCCCGTTTTCATCACTTTCGCTTTAATTCTCGGACACTGGCTACATTTACATGCAACCAAATAATCCGTTTGTAATCGGATTGAGCCCATTTTCGATTATCCGGGAGTGACGCGCAGTGACGTGCTGCAAAGATGGTGACGGCCGGCTCTGCCTATTTTGGGCTTCAAAAAGGCTCTTCGGAACTCTACAGGTGACGTCACGGACACTACGTCCATGTTTTTATACAGTCTATGGTAA